ATGGGAAGAACTGGTGTCCCTGGCGCTCTGAGAAGCGCGGGGCGCCAGAGGGTAAAGATCAGACACTAACCTGGGGCAATCTATCTGCTGCGGTGCCCCAACGGTGAAACTTCAGAGAGCCTTTTGGTGCACGCTGGCTGGTGCGACGTCCCACCCCTTTCCCCATGTGTTTGACGACTTTCCTACTCGCTTTTCAACTCTAAACCTTCTAAACTCCAATGGTGCTTTCCCCAAACACTTAGAATCGATTATACCCTCAACATACATCATATTCTACTTGAAATCACATCTAAATACCTGAATCAATCTCAAGAAAACTCCAACAACACAACCCACAAGATTCAAACGAATTTCATCAAGAACTCAAAGGATTTATTTTCAAATCTAAAATACTTCGCTGAATTGATTCATGATTGGTTCGTCGGTTAATTAACCCAACAATATGTCATCTCACATACCTTGTAGGGATCACCCCTTGATGAAATCCATAAGCTAAACTTGAACGTTCTTGACGATTCTTGATTTCTCTTCTCCTTTCTCCTCTTTTCTCTTTTCTCCAAGACCTAGTGTGAACTTCAAATTTTCTAAACTGACTAAAATCTGAATTTACCCCAATTAAACTCCTAAAAATGAATTAAAATAATTGGGTAAGGAAAAGACTAAAATACCCTTCCAAAATCCGGATTAGACTTTCCTTATTCAAACTGCCCAAATTCCAAAAGGCATATCTCACTCATACGAACTCGGAATCGCTCAAACTCTGCGGCGTTGTAAAGATTATTCCAAGAGATTTCCTAAAATATCTAGAAGTACACCTAAATCATTCTAAGATAGGAGTTATGTCTGTTTGAAGTTGACCAAAACCTAACTTATCCTAACTTAACAAAGTTTTCCAGATTTTCATTCTCTCCAAGAATGACTATTTTCAATTCTTAGCTTCTTCCTAGTTATTTCAAATTGCAAGATGTTATAGGTCCTGATGAGTACAACATGATCTCTGCCTGCCAGACTGCTAAAGAAATATGTGACTGTCTCAAAATAGCCCACGAAAGAACGACTCAGGTCAAAGAATCCAAGGTGGATATGTTAACAACTCAATATGAGAATTTCAACATAAAGAAAGGTGAAACCATACATGAGATGCATACAAGGTTTAGTTCCATCACTAACGAACTGAGGTGTCTTGGTGATCCTATTCACCTAAGCAAACAGGTTTGAAAATTCTCTGGGTACTTTCCAAGTCATGGGAGAGAAAAGTGAATGCTATCACTGAAGCCAGAGATCTAAAGGTCCTCACCATGGATGATATAGTCGGAAATCTTCAAACCTACGAGTTAAATTGGTAGAAGGGGTCATCTGTGAAGGAAGGAAAGAAGGAGAAATCAGTGGCACTGAAGATCTCTCAAAATGATGGGTCAAAAAAAGAGGATGAGATGCCCTACTTAACTAGAAGGTTCCAGAAGATAGTAAAAAAAATGGAGGATTCCAGAAGAAAGGAAATATCAACAGAATGGCGAATGCTAATGATCTTTGCTACAAATGTGGAAAGCATGGACATCTCATGAGAGACTCTCAGAGCCAGAAGCAGGAAGCTCAGAACTTCAAACCTCGGCAAAGGGACCAGGTCCCTAACCATGCTAAAAGAAAGGCCTATGCAGATCAAGTTGTGAAAGAAGCCTTTGCGGTTTGGGGAAACGCCTCCAGCAGCTCTACGGAAGAAGAAAGTCATGAAGATATCTCGATGATGGTAGTCAATGATGATGAAACTGTCTTCAACTCCATTTTCTCATTGATGGCAAAGTCGGATAATGAAGAGAGCCAGAATGAGGTAACCCTTTTTTACCTCAAAAGTGTCCTAGACACTTTATCTATTAAGAGATTGAGAATACTTGTTGCTTTGCTGATTGACTCTGTTGATGAATTAACTAATGAAAATATGATGTTAAGTGAAAAAACTGAGTTTGTGTAAAGATGAAAAAACTGCCCTTAGCTCTCAAATGTATGAAATGAGTGTTAGGGTGAGTATTTTTGAAACCAAGGGTTCTCAGTCTGAAGAGGAACCAGGTACCTGTGAGGGTGGAAAAAGGAATCTTAGTAGTTTAGAACTTGAGTTAAAGGAAGGGTTGAAAGCCTCTGAATCAAAATTAGCTGCTACTCTTGAGATAAACTCACAACTTACAGGAGATATGAGAAAAATCAAAGATAAGTTAAGTCATTCTCTAAAATGGACTGACTTATCTAAGATTCTTTCAGACTTAGCAAATCAGAAGTTCAACAATAGGAAAGGTCTAGGGTGTAGAAATATAGAACCTCTCTACAATCCTCATAGCAAGTATGTGTCAGTTTATGATAATCTGTTATGCACCCACTATGGAAGAAACAGTCACTTGAAAAGAAACTGTGAGTCTCTAAAAAGGGTAAAAGATAATCAAGAGATTTTTCTTAAGTCAGAAAAAGGGAAGGTAAAATGAAGAAGGCACCTAGTCCCAAATATCATTTTAGCATGAATACCTTGCCCCCGTGGACTGGAAGGTTTCTTATCAAACCTTTTGACAGTTTTTGGGAACTCCATCTCAAGTGGGTTCCTAAATCTAACAAATGATTCATGTGCAGAAGAGAGGAAGTAGTCAATGTTGGTACATGGACAGTGGCTGCTTGAAGCATATGACTGGAGACATTCACAACTTCCTCTCTTTGGAAGCACACCAAGGTGGTGATGTGCCATTTGGAGATGAAAAAAAAGGATTCATTCTAGGTATTGGGAGAATTGGAGGATCAACAGAACATTTTATAGACAATGTTCACTATGTGAATGGGTTGAAGTACAATTTGCTGAGTGTATCTCAAATTTGTGATAAAGGAAATGAAGTTAAATTTCTATCTGATAGGTGCATAGTTACTAACAAAGTTGTTATGTCTTCCAAAAGAATAAAAAATATGTATGTTGCAGATCTTTACTCAATAGAAGGGGATAGTCTCACATGTCTAAGTGCTCAAACCGACAATACAAACCTGTGGTACAGAAGACTAAGAATGATCTCATCCTTGTTGGACAAACTTTCTGCAGGGGACCTGGTCCGTGGACTGCCAAAGCTGAAGTTTTCTGACAACAAGATCTGTGATGCATGTGTAAGGGGGAAGCCAACGAAATCATCTTTCAAGTCAAAGAAAGTTGTCAGCACAACTAGACCACTAGAACTTCCCCACGTGGATCTGTGTGGACCTGTTAGAATTCAGAGCAGAGGAAGTAAGAAGTATATCCCGGTGATTGCTGATAATTTCTCGAGATTCGCCTGAAACATGTTCTTGCGGACCAAGGACGAGACAACTGGATTACTAATCACTTTTATTAAAGCAATTCAACTAAAAATAAACAACCAGATTGCCAGATCAGACCATGGTACAGAGTTTGAAAATGCCCAAATCGAAGGTTTTTGTGCTGATAATGGGATTCATCACAATTTCTGTGCACTAAGAACTCCTCAGCAAAATGGGGTTGTGGAAAGGAAGAACATGACCTTGGTGGATATTTCTAGAACCATGTTGATTGACTCAAGACTTGCAATGAACTTTTGGACAGAAACAGTCAACACAACTTGCTATATTACAAACAGATGTCTCATAAGGTTGGTAATCAAGAAGACCCCCTATGAGTTGTTGAATGGAAGGAAACCATCACTTTCTCACTTGAAAACTTTTGGTTGCAAGTGCTTTGTATTGAACAATGGAAAGGATGATCTTGGCAAGTTTGATGCAAAGAGTGATGAAGGAGTGTTTGTCGGTTACTTCTCAACAAGCAAAACATACAGAGTTTTCAATAAAAGAACTTCGTGTGTGGAAGAAAGTGTGCATGTGATTTTTGATGAATCTGATGATCTGAGCAATGCTAAACATAGTGAATACATCTAATTGGAGGAACTGATGGAGGGCCAACAAGACATGGAAATCCAAACTCCTGTAGCTGAACAAATTTCAAATGAAAAAAACAATGCAGAACCCACAGAGGAACCTGGTCCCTCTAGTATAGCTTAGGTTGAAGATTCTCAAGACAAAGAACCTGAAGAGGATGAGTCAATCTTGAAGAGGAGATAACAATAAAGTCTAGATGGAAACATCAATCTTCTCATCCTATGGACAATCTTGTTTCTTTAGTTGATTTGAGAAAACAGACTAGATCCAAAACAAAAAATCTAGTTTCTTTCTCGGCCTTCATATCAACCATTGAACCCAGGAAAATCAAAGAGGCTTCAAAAGATGCTGACTGGGTAACATCAATGAAAGAAGAACTTCATCAGTTTGAAAGGAACAAGGTGTGGCACCTGGTCTCCAGACCTCTCAACAAAACCATTATTGTGACCAGATGGATATTCAGAAACAAGATTGATGAGCATGGAACTATAACCAGAAACAAGACAAGACTAGTGATACAAGGGTATAATCAAGAGAAAGGGATTGATTATGATGAGACCTTTGCAATTGTAGTTATGATGGAAGATATCAGAAATCTAATAGCTTTTGCTACCTACATGGAGTTCAAGCTGTTTTAAATGGACGTTTAAAGTGCTTTTCTGAATGGGTATCTGAAATAGGAGGTGTATAGAAAACAACCTCCAGGTTTTGAAGATGCTGATCTGCCAAACCATGTGCTAAAGCTGGATAAAGCCTTGTATGGTCTAAAACAAACACCTAAAGCTTGGTATGAGTGCCTGTCAAAATTCCATCTAGCAAATGATTTCAAGAGAGGTAAAATTGACAACACCTTGTTCTTAAAGTCCAGAAGTAAGGAGCTTCTGATTGTGCCACTATATGTAGATGATACCATTTTCAGAGCTACTTTAGATTCACTATGCAAAGAGTTTGCAGCCTTAATGAGTAGCAAATTTGAAATGAGCATGATGGGGGAGCTTATATTCTTCTTGGGCTTGCAAATCAAATAGGCCCCTCAAGGTACATCAATATGCCAAGAGAAGTACATAAGAAAACTACTTAAGAAATACAACATGCTCAAGGCAAAAGTTCTTGACACTCCCATGAGCACAAGCATCAAAATTGATATGGATGAAGAAGGGATTAATGTGAATCAGACCATGTACAGGGGAATCATTGGGTCACTTCTCTATCTCACTGCCAGCAGGCCAGATATAGTCTTCAGCGTAGCGATGTGTGCTAGGTTCCAAGAGGCTCCAAAAGAATCACACATGAAGGCAGCTAAAAGGATCCTAAGATACCTGGAGGGAACACAGGACCTGGTCCTATTCTATCCTTCTGGTTACTCTCCTGATCTAATTGGTTATGCTGATGATTATGCAGGTTTTTTGGTTGATCGAAAAAGTACCTCTGGAATGTCTCACTTTCTAGGGTCATCACTGATTTCATGGGATACCAAGAAGAACAATTTAGTGGCTTTATCAATTGGAGAAGTGGAGTATGTGGCTGCTACATCATGTTGTGCTTAACTCTTATGGAACAATCAACAACTTGAAGATTTTGGTGTTCTTACATACACTATTCTTCTAATATGCGACAATACAAGTGCAATGAACATGGCCAAGAATCCTGTCCAGCATAAGAGGATCAAACATATAGATGTGAGGCACCACTTCTAAGAGATAATGTTGAGAAGAACAATGTAGTGATAAGATACTACAAGACAAAAGATCAAGTGGCTGATATCTTTTCCAAGGCATTGAGCAAAGAGAACTTTGTCAGGAATAGATTGAAGTTGGAGATGCACAAGATCACCTTATTCCACAACAAGTTTGCATGGAACCTCTCTTTTGACTATGATAGGGAGGGCAGGTATCTATACTTGTTGTACTGCTTAATGTTTTTGAACTCACATCTCGTACCTTACCGCAAGTACATACTCATGGCATGTTGGCTTAAAAGAAGATTTAACCATGACAGACAGGGCTATCTATAGAGAGGGAAATGGTCCAGAAGGTTAGTATCACTTTTTGCTACACAAGTTTTTGTCAACGGTCACGTCCATGTGTCATCTTCCTATTTACTATGTCAGTTGCAGACGTCTTTTAATTTTAAAATCATGAGTCACTACTGATCAGGGACTCGATACATTGTTGAATACAACTTTTTTGAGAGAATTCAAACATCACAAATTCTTCTTACTCTCCTTCGAATTCTCTCACTGTTCATCTAACTGTTCTCTCCTTATCTCTTGAGAAAATGTCTAACTCTTCTTCTTCAAAACTTCCTCTCTCCCAAGAAATTGAAAATCCCGGTTCATTCAATTTCTCAATTTCTCTCCTTGAATGATCTCCATCCACACCAGTATGTGGGGTTGGTGAGACTGATAAATCTATCACACCCACACTGAAGTGTTGGAATATCATGTACTCAATCCTCGGGAAATCTTACCTTGTTCTCCAACATTAGTTCTATCAGGAAAAGATTCCCTAAATTTTGAGGCCAAGTCGGTTGTAAAACCTACCCTTGAGACACCCACTGAAGATCTAGAAGTTGTGTCTCAACTAGGGCCTGTGTCATCTACAATGTCTGAAAGATTGTTTGAAAGGGATTTTCTTGAGGGAAAGGGTATAGAATCCAACATTCTAGCAGAGGAATTGATGGTCATACAAAGTTTGGCTTCTCTAAGAGGGGATATTCAGGCAACACTCTTAGAACAAGAGTGTAGATTGCTGGAACGGGTCCCTCACAATGTTCAACCAGTGTTTGACCAAACTCTCAAATCCTTTGGGGTTGATGGTGAGGAAGAGGATGAAGAAGAAAATCCTCTAGTCTGGCATAGAAATGGGGTTCGAGGTGCTAATGATTTGACTATGGTTGTCTCCGATTTAGGAGCAGTTGATGCTGTACTTGAGACTAAACTTGAGGATGAGCCTACTGAGTATGAAAGGAAAAGAAAAAAGAAAGGGAAAAGGAAAAATGGTAGAGTCTCACACCAAATGAGAGAAAATAAGGTATGCAACGAGAGGGGTGGTACAAAAATTACTTGGAGATGCTTTAGCAGCAAACAAAGTCCAAACAGAGAGAAATCGAAGACGAAGAAGGGATCTTTGTGTGCCAACTGAGGAACCTACCTCAACGCCTCAACATATAGGCTCGAGTGAAACAGAATCTAAAGATATTATTAGAGTAGTGACAAAACGGAAGAAGGAGGCAGAAAATGAATGGGTCAAAGCTAAAAGGGTTCCTAAGTCTGTGAAGAAATCACCTGTGAAAAGGGACAAGGTGACTAAAAAGGCTCCCTTGAAACCAAAAACTGTAAAGGGAGCAGGTTCACCTGCCCAGAAGCCAGTGGAAAAAAAAGTGTTAACTAGGGAAAAACGTATTTCAGAGATGGAGAAACAAAAGGTGTTGAATGAGAGAGTGTTTGAACCAGAAATCCTCACAGAATATGATATGTCTACTTTTTTCAATTATGTGTCCTTGCAAAGTTGGGAACACCTGTTTGAAGCTCCAACACCTTATTTGCACGAGCCAGAGGTGCGAGAATTCTGCTACAAGATAGAGCTTCTCAATGATGGAGGCATCCAAACGATAATTTGGAGGGCATAGATCTCTCTGAATGAGGAAAGCTTGGAAATCATTTTGAGTGTTCCTTCAATAGGGATCCGGTCCATTGAAGGTTTTATACCTTCTAGTGACTTTTTCAAAGGGCTACCAAGCCTGGGGACATAAAACTTGCTGGTCTTCCTAACAAGTTCCTAAGGGGAGAGTATTAGTTGATTTTTGAGTTCATCAACAAGGTTTTGGTGCCAAGGAGTGACAAAAGAACTATAACTTTTGCAGCAGATATGTTCCTCATGGAACAGTTGGATGAACTTTAAGATATCAACCTTCTAGCGATCATGCTTGAACACATGCACAGAGTGATGACTTAGAAAAATGCCAGACATGGCATACCTTATAGGTACCTGCTGAACTATGTGTTTGAACACTTTGGTGTAGCTCTTGGCGGAGTAGTACCTGGTACTATGAAATAGTTGTTTTCTCCAGCAACCCTCTTGGAATGTGAATGTGCTGAGGGTAAGGTCAAGGGTAAGTCTCATGTGTCTGATGTTCTTGAGCAACAAGAATCTCTCAAGTGGGATCTAAATGATCTTACAGTAACCTTGAATGCAAAGGAGGTGGAGATTGCACAACTTAAGGCTCAGATGCAACAAACTATTTCTAAGGGACCTAGTACCAGTTCTGCGCATAAAGAGGAAGTATAAAAGTTAAGAGCTGAGAATGCACAACTGCTGAAGAAAAATGTCTCACTCAGTGAGGAAATTCTTACTCTTAACAAGCAAATCATTCATGCTCACGTCGATGCTAACACTCGCATGGCTCTGATATTGCATTCTTTCTCTCCCCGTCCCCCTCCGTCCTAAATGAGTCTGATGTCCATATTCTTAGGTCTTTCCTTGTCCTGTCTATTTTCTCTGTTTTACTCTAGTGGCAAAGTGTAATGTTTTGGCTAAACTCTGTGGTCAGCATAAGTGATCTAATGATATCATCTCTATCTTTCCCTGCTTTTGTATGCTTTTATCTTCTCTATTTTTGCCTACTTGCACATGTGCTCTGTGGCCCATGGCCCTGAGTTCCTAACATTTTTACATGCAGCTTGTGAATTGTTTACTGTCACTCCTTTTTAATGATGTCAAAAGGGGGAATGATATATAAAATTTTTGTTTGTGAAATTAGAGTAAGTATAGTGACAGAGGAAATACTTATAGGGGGAACTGAGTGGAATTGATAGATGTTTGATACTTTGAATAAATGTTAACTCATGTGAGGTAGTTTGTTTGTCATCATCAAAAAAGGGGAAAATGATGACTCTTACTGCTTCCAGATGTTTTGATGATCCTCGCAAATGCAGGGATCCGGTCCTTGTAGAGTGTTCTCGTCTAAGGTAATGTGCTATACAACTGGAAAGTTGTCTTGTCAGAGGTTGGTGAGGTCGTCACCGTACAAAACAAATTAGAATGGAAAAGATTATTTGTCCAATGGTTAATAATTCTTTATGGTTGATATATTCAACATGACAAACAACATATATATTCATTTCATTCAAAGAGAGAAAATTCAAGCTTCAAAAACAATAAGGGACCTCGTTGACTGAAGACTTGCTTCCTGAAAATGTTGTCATTTTGATTGCTTGTATTGTGCTTAACTTGTAGGATTCGTTTCACTTGTGTTAGAAACGTTTCAAAACCTTGTGTGAATCACTGTAAGAGCATAGTTGAGGGCAACTTTGTGTCTTACATTTAAAAGTTTATATTAATCAGTGAGGGTTGGTACAGTGGGAATGCAGGCATTGCTTATGCTCTTTAAGTAATAGGTTGTATTACTTAGTGTGGAGATTAGGAGGTTCATCTCTTCTGTCGTTGTAAAATGTGTTTTACTTTTCCTTGAGAAGATTAGTAAAAACAGTTTAAAAATCTTGTGAGACAGGGCGTGGCTTTACTTCCTTGAGCAAGGAGGTTTCCACATAAAGTTTTGTGTGTTATCTTTACTTCTAGTATTTACTTTTGTGTATCATAATTGTAGAAAGGACCTGGTCCTATCGTAGTTAGTGGACGCATACATTCCAACACATCCATAGGGGGTTTTAAATCTGTCATCAAATCCAGAGATCAGCAATGGAAACTACTAAGCTTGGGTTACATCAGAGGGGATTTCTAGAATATCAATAAAATGAGCGGGTCAAAATGAAAAATAAATGAGTTATAATTCAGCTCGTCTAATTCTTACTAAGTTATAATGTTATTGTCTGTTCTTTAATATTAGTATCTAATAGAATCCCCCACCCCACCCTCCACCCCTTTATTATGGCTTATATATATATATATCAAACAAAAAATAAATATCTTTCTGAATTCTTTTTAACAAGGTTTCTCGTGGGTCAATATAAACGACATATTAATTCTAATTTTTAGATGGGATAAATTGACTCGTCTAAACTTGAATGGATTGAGATAATTATATTTTCATGGGCTAATTTTGTGTCGTACTCCACTATAATTTCATGTTCCTAACGAAAAGTTTGGTCATGGAATTGAAATATTCTTGATAAGTATTCTTGTGTAGTTAAAGGGAAAAATGGTTAGTTCATTTACATAGTTGAACAAAATTAGAAAAACAGATACTTCTTCTGTTTCAATTTGTTTGTCTAGTTTTTGATTTGACATGAGGTTTAAGAAACTAAAGAAAAAACTTGTTAGGCTCATCCCTAAGAATTTCATGTTCCTAACAAAAAGTTTGGTCATGGAATTGAAATATTCTTGATAAACATTCTTGTGTAGTTAAAGGGAAAAATGGTTAGTTCATTTACATAGTTGAACAAAATTAGAAAAACAGATACTTCTTCTGTTTCAATTTGTTTGTCTAGTTTTTGATTTGACATGAGGTTTAAGAAACTAAAGAAAAAACATCAAATTATGTAGTAGTAGACAAAAGATATGTAAAATGTACCAGAATATCATTTAAT